CTCATGAAAGCTTTTTATCTGTGCAGCTGTTGGTTCCTTTGGTGTGGTCTAACAGATGGTGGACTCCATGGGAGGCCAGAGGTGTCCTGGGACCTTGAGGTCATACTTAAACCTCTCTGACTCTCAGCATCTCTGACTGTAAAATGGATTTATGGCATTCTCCTTCCCTTACCCACCCCCAAGACCTTGGGAGGACCAGCTTTTGGCCTGAATAAAAAAAACTATCTGTCCCAAACCCTCACTTTACAGATGAAGATACTGAGGCTTGGATAGGCTGCTTAGCTTCTCCAAGTTGCTCAATGAATTGATGACCGAAACTGTATTAGAACCCTGGAGTGTCAGTCAGCTAATGCTTTGTAACAACTGCTGAGGTTCATTGTAATGTTATGGACCTAACTCTCATGCACATACGATGAATATATGTCAAAGATTTTTTTTTCACACAACTCATTAAGTAATGAGAGTGACTGATGTTGAGACCAGCTCAGAGGAGATTTTCAAGAACAGAGGGATATACAGACAGTCAGGAACGCTGCAATGAATTCTCTAAAAGATGCACAGCAGGTTACCATTCAAAAGACCATAAAACATAAGGTTTGGGGTTATCTTTTCTATAGCGCACAAATCCATTGTGTCTCTCCAGCACAAAACCCATTTGCATTGCTATCAGTTTTCTCTGAGTTAACTTTTGTCCCTAAGGAGTGGTAAAGTAGCATCCTCCGTAGATCGTCAGCCAAAGGTGCAGATATCTATAGGTCAGAAGATCCCCAGGGGGCTTTCAGTGCTCTACCAAAAGGGCTCTAAAGAATCTCTTTTGCTGATTTCTAAGTTTCCTGATATAGAAAACCACAGAAATTTCAATAGCTTTCAATCCTAAGCATTTATTCATCCATCACAGGTCAGGAGGCAGAGGCAGTGGGAGGGCTCTGCTCCCCTCCGTCTCATTCTGGGGGCCCAGGCCGGAGGGGGCAGCGGCTGTCTGGAGCACGTTCTTGTCAGAGTGGGGGCCTGGGCTCCCAAAGAAGCACAACCACGTGATGCTTCTTAAGGCCTCACCTGGGAAATGGTACATTGTTACTTCCGCCCGTATTCCACTAGCCAAAGCAGGTGACAGGAACCAGCCCAACATTAGTGGGAAGTATGGTGCTCCCATGGCTGTGGGGGATGGATATTTGCTGAGCAGTGGTAAGCATGTCGAGTTGTGCGAAGACTTGCAAAACCCACGTGGACACAGAGGCACTGTGTAAACATACGGGAGCAAGCGGGTTTTAAGTGTAGAGATCAGTTGTGACCACTGCCCCCCACCCCCTTTCCAGAAGTGAAAGAAAGTAGGGTTGGCCAGCCGAAGGTTAAGTTTGGAAATGAGCCCGCTCTGATGCTTGCTTTCGTGACATAATCTTCTTTTTTTTATTTTCTTTTTTTTTTGAACGTTTATTTATTTTTGGGACAGAGAGAGACAGAGCATGAACGGGGGAGGGGCAGAGAGAGAGGGAGACACAGAATCGGAAGCAGGCTCCAGGCTCCGAGCCGTCAGCCCAGAGCCCGACGCGGGGCTCGAACTCCCGGACCACGAGATCGTGACCTGGCTGAAGTCGGACGCTCAACCGACTGTGCCACCCAGGCGCCCCTAGGAACACGTTTCTTAAGTAGGGGGACATCTAGCTCTTAAGTCTGCAGAACCGTGCCCGGGGCGGATGCAGAATGCCAAGATACTCATGGCCACGAGAGGGGGTTTTCCTGGAAGAACTTTGAGAAATATTTGAAGTTAGAAGAAGGCAACAGTTGTAATAAGGCACTTGCAATGGATACATGGTATATAATATTTAATGAATTCATTTTTTTAAGTTCATTTATTTATTTTGAGGCAAAGAGAGCATGAGCAGGGGTGCGGCAGCGAAAGAGAGAGAAAGAGAGAGAGAGAGAGAGAGAGAGAGAGAATCCCAAGCGGGCTCAAACTGTCAGCGCAGAGCCCGACGCAGGGCTCGAACCCACAAATCATGAGATCATGACCTGAGCCCAAATCAAGGGTCGGACGTTGGACTGACTGAGTCACTCGGGTGACCCTTCATAAATTACTTTAATGTGTTGCTCTATTTTAAGTTTGTCAGAAATAACTAGCAGAAAAAACACCTCATGGCCAACAACCAAAGATGAAGTTGGGGTGTCACCCACGGGGAAGCCTGAGACCAGGGTGGGAATCACAGAATCACAGAACCTGGAACTTCTTCCTAGAGCAGGGCTGCGTCCAAGTGCGGCCTCGATGAAGCTGAGGAGATGGGGAACAGGCTGGGGGAGCACGGTTTCCCCAGAGGTGGGGGCCCAAAGTCTCCTCCTCCTCTTAATTCCATTTTTCTTCTTCTTCCTCCTCACCTGGTCCAGGTCTCGCTGGCTGCTACCATTTAGGAATTGCTCCCCCTGGTGTCAGGTGCTGTGCACTACACTTCACAGAAGCCCCACGGCTTTATGCCACCTGCCGAGTCAAACCCTGGCTGGAACTTCCACCCATGAAGTCCGCGTGAGGCGGTTTCAGAAAATTTACAAACGAGCACCCACTTCAAAGGGAGCCTTAAGTCAATACACTAGGCTGCTCTGCCTTTGAGGAAGAAGGCTGAGATGTTCTTTGCGTCTTTGCCTTCATCTATTTGTAGCATCAAAGGAAAAGTCAAAACGATGAAATTCTACCTAACGTGATGTTGTGCAGATATTACATGAGCTCATCTTTCTGTGACCTCCTGAGGAAGTTATTATTATGGCCATAATACTTAATATGTATGTCATACAGAGATAATAGAAATGGAAAATCAGGTTCAAAGAGATTAATGACAGGTCAGATGGCAAGAATAACGTAGCCCCCAAATCTACCTGTAATGCAACATTAAGCCTTCTGGGTTAGAGTGAGTTTCAAACCTCACCACCGCCAGGTGAGGAAAATAGAGCTCTTAAGTTTGCAGAACCGTGCCTGGGGCGGATACAGAATGACATCTCCATTTTCCTGAAGGGGAAACTGAGTCTGAGAGATCCGACATGCCTTCCCCGAGGCCGCTTAGCCAGTGTGCCAGTGTCAGGACTGAAACCTAGATCCTCCGACGTTTAACCCTGTGTTATCACTGCCTTCCTCTGAAACACCGGAATGATAGCGTCTTTTGTGAGTTTCACATTCCCTGAGGAAAATTTTGTCTCGTCATGAAGACCTTTCCAATAATAGGGACACCACCTTCTGGGCATTAAAGAAAAATCTAGGTCTGAGTTTTTGCTCAATCACTGCTCTTTGATTTGCATAGATTCCACATATATCTCTACAGTTAATATTCGGACAACCCGCATACATTCTCTTTTTTTCATTAAAATTTTTTTAAATGTTTATTTTTGAGAGAGAGAGAGAGAGAGAGAGAGAGAGACAGAGCGTGAGTGGGGAGGGGCAGAGAGAGAGGGAGACACAGGATCCGAAACAGGCTCCAGGCCCCGAGCTGTCAGCACAGAGCCCGACGCGGGGCTCGAACTCACGGACCGCGAGATCATGACCTGAGCCGGAGTCGACGCTTAACCCACTGAGCTGCCCCAGGCGCCCCAACGCACAGACATTCTTAAAGGTGCATTTGTGCGGAAACTACATCATTGGACGGTGGTGGGAACTGAATGAGGTGGAAAAGGAAAGGTGCTTGGCACGGGGCCCGCCACAGAGCAGGCGCTCGGCAGGTGGTTGGGGTGCCGGTTACACAGCCGTGGGATTCCTGGGAAGGCAACTGGCTGGAGATCTTCAAGCAGAGACCAAAGAATGCGGCTACAGATGGGAACTGATTAACATTTTATAGGCCGGGGTCACGATCCCTTAGTGGAATGTGAAGTCCTTGGAGTGGGTTCATGTTACCGCCGAATTGTGTTGTCTCCCCCGCCCCCGCCCTGCCCACCAAGTTCGTTGGTTGACTCTCTAACCTCCAGTGCTTCAAGACGTGACTGTCTTTGGAGACAGGGCTTTTAAACAGGTGCATAGGTTAACGGAGGCGGCTAGGGTGACCCTCATCCAATCTGACTGGTGTCCCTGAAGAGGAGAGTTGGACGAATAGACGCCAGGGTGTACACACACAGGACAGAACCACGTGAAGCCGGGCGAGACGTAAGCCAAGGAGAGCGGCCACGGAAGAAACCAGCCCTGCCTGGCACTTGGTGCTGGACTTCCAACGTCCAGGGTGGTGAGAACATAATTTTGTGCTGCTTAAGTCCCCCAGCCTGTGGCGTTTTGTGGCGGCAGTGCTGGCAAGGCCATACAGGCTGTGACATCAGTGTTTCATAAAATGCGGAATAGCAAATATCACAGGGTATCATCGCATCAGGATAGCACTGTTTCGGTTGTTTCTACGTCGATCGGATTACGTGGGCTGGGCTGTGATATAAAATGAGTCACCAAAGACGGAACAGCACCGGACTTGACACCCCAAACTTCTCTCCTAATTTGGATATCATATTAATTATTATTATTATAATGAACATGTTCGTATTCACAGTATGTCAGTTAGTATGTATTAAGTGCCTCTAAGTGCCAAAGGTTTATAAATGTGAACTCCCCTACTCTGGAAACATCCCTTCGAGGTAATTATTATTCCTATTTTACAGGTGAGGCTGAGACTTGGTTATTTAAACTGTCCAGGGTCAAACACCAAGCATTTTTCAGAGCCATGATTCTTGCCCAAAGCAGGCTATCTCAAAATAGGCTTTCCCTATTCAGCATCATTGTGCAGCTACCCATAATCCTCTGCCCAGTTACTTAGCACCCAGGCATCAGCTTCCCCTCTGCAAAGAATTCAGTGATGGAAATTAGGAAGACCTTGGACTTAATAGGCTCTGTGCATGCGATTGGCTAAGGGTACAATGGGCCTTTGATGATTGCGGTAAGAACACGGAGCGCGTCTCCAGTTGGCATGGAGCTTTTCTTCTTGTCGCTAAGGTAAACGGAGCATCGTGATGTCTGTGGGGGCGGGTGATGAGGCACAAAGGTCTGGTCCATCAGGACTGGAAGGAGGTGAGAAAATGGCCCTGACACTCCTTGTCTGAAGACACTGTGAATAGAGTCTTTGCCCACAGTATCCAGCCCTCCTGTGCAAGCAGGCTCCCGGCCAGACGCTCTTGAAAGCAGGTACATGGGCTCATTAGCAGGGAAATGGCAGTGGGTAATCGGAATATGTAAATGGCATGGGCAAACAGGGTGTTTTAACAATCAAGACCCGGAGAGAAGGAGCTTAATTTGGTAGAGAGAAAGGAGCAGACTGCCCAGGGAGCCAATTACTGGAGCCAGAGGCTAGATGCTCAGCTTAGGGAACCCACAGTCAGAGCACAGAGAGGCTGGGACACTGGGTGAATTTGTTTCCACCTCTAAAATGCCGAGTGACCCACGACCCTGCTTTTTTCCAGATACCAATTCATGCGGACTCTCTTTCCTAAATCCCTCATCCTTCCCTCGTCTCAGGGATCTGCCAGCACTTTCCTTCCGGACCTCAGCATCTCAGCTGGGCACCACAGTAGTCCCGCAGCTGTTTTCATGGGATTCGTTTCTCCCACTCTCAATCTGTCCTCTACGGAATCATCAGAAAGCCCTTTCTGAAACCACCTGGGACACATCACTCCATCCTTAAAGCACCTCAAGGTCCCCAAATTCATAAGCCTGGCATGTAGGCAAGCCTGCCCCACGGGGCCCCTGCTCCATTCACACTTCCAGACATCTTGCCCTGGAAATTCCATGCATTGTCTTGACTTCCAGCCTTTGCATATGCTGAGCCTTCCGCCAGGAACAGCATTCTCAGACAGTACATCTCAGTAGCTAAAAGCACAGACTCCAGATAACCTTGGCCCCAACCCTGGGGCCATCAGCTCTTAGCCACGTGACCTTGAGCAGGGTACTTAAGCCCTCCAAGTGTCATTTCATCATGGTTAACACAGAGAACAATAACCGTGATTCCTACCTCATAACTTTGCTGCTAGGATAGATGAGATCATCCGTATAAAGCTTAGCCCAGTGTCAGGCACACAGTAAGCACTCAATTAATGTAAGTAACGATGATGATGGATAAACATGTACCATGAGTCAGGTCATCAAGATGTGATGATGATACAGAAATGAGTAAAACTGATTTGCATTGTTGATCTCATCTTCTCAACTAAATATGGAATTAGATACTCAATTTTCTTTTTCTTTTCCCTCCTGTTACCCACAGAGAGCCATTCATGAAACAGGAAATCAGTAAATGCCCACTGGAAGGATTAATGAATGAATTCATTAATGGATGAAGTGAATATCTTAACCCAATACAGGTTCCCCCCACTACCTGCAAGGAGACCTTTCCTACCAAACCTTTCCTAAGCCCAAATGGCATAAAGCAAAGAAGCAATTAATCTAGATTTTTTTTTTTTTAATAGCGTTTCCAGACCCTGAAGAAAACCTCTCTTCAGCTTTTCTGATACCTTAGGACACATTTTGCTAATGGCTGCACAAAATAAATGGAGATGAACCACAGATGTTCCCAGATACAGTTCAGCGCCCCGGCAGTTGGAAGGCGTGATGCTGAATGCAGTTCCCGGTGAAGGAGCTGGGTGGCACTACCTTCCCCGCTGGGGAGGAGTGCTGTCTCTGAAATGGCTCAGGGCAGAGCATACCTCGAAAGCTGTCACTTTCTGCCTTTTTGTTGTGGTTGCTGTTGCCGATTTCGTAAAAGAGAAAGCCTTTTAAGATTTCTTTCAGTTAGTAAACACAGGTAGGTCTTTCGTAAAAGTCAAGCGGCATAACGTAAACTTTCGCAAAGCTGGGGATACCTGTATATTTAAAAGGAGAAGAAAAGAAACGATATTAAGAAACGCCCAAAATAAATGTAAAGGTGAATGTAAGACCTGCAAATACAAGGCAGGGAAAAGAAACTCTTTCTCCAACTGAGAACAATCTAAGCGAAGTCCTTTAATTATTGCCATCTCGAGTGAAGGTGAGCGCCATTTGGCTTGGAGCTCATTCATTCGCCATCCCGCCTGGCTTGAGCTGCCTTCCACAGTCCTATGTCCAGACTCCTTCGAGTAATTTAGTAAATGTGCCCGGTACATCACGGGCTCTCGGTCTAGCTCAAAATGGAGTCCGAGGTAGGGAGGTTGGGAAATTATCCCACTTTATAGATAAGGAGACAGGCTGGGTAGGAGTCCAACAACTTGCCCAAGGCCACGAAGCTCAAAGTCACAGAGTCAGGGCTAGAATTCGAATCAGGGTCTAAATTCCATACCGTAAGCTGCCCTCATCTTCTGGGTGCCTTTTGCCTTTCTCCTGATTCATTCCCAGAAAGCTTCCTCCCCTGCAAGGGACCGAGAGTTCATGCGCCCTAATGTAGAGTGATATGACATCCAGGAAAAGGAAAACAAAGCAAAACCATGGAGTGCGGAAAGAGGACAGCACCTTTGACGGTTTGCTGTGGTTGAGTTTTCAAGAGTAAAGAATACACAGAGGGAAGCCTTTGGCCTGGACTGTGACAAGACCCAAAATTGGGGAGTTTGCCTGGTCTCCTCCGAAAAGGCAATGGGTGTCTGTCTCCTTAGGAGATGCAAAGACCTGTCTCACTGGCTCCTCCCAGAGGTAGATTTATAACCAGGTGCAGAGCAAGCATTTTGGGGACACTGTTACTCGGTTAGCAGCAGTTCTATGGAATCCTATGATAGTGAGGCATCCTTAAGCCCACGGATGGTGAAATCGGCAGAAGCATGATGGGCAGGAAAGACGATTTTGTATCCAGGAGATGTGTCTGTTCTACCAGAGACACATCTTCCCCCAACCACGACTGGAAGGTCCAATGTAATCAATCTGCCACCAGGTGGCTGGCTGAACCATCGGAGAAGGTGCCATCCTGGAGGCTGAGCGTTGGTCCCCTCTGTTTGCGGGTCAGGCAAAGTGCAGTAGTGTTGGCAATGGTCGCCCCCAGAATATTAACAGAGGGTACTTCTGGGCAACCAGACGACAAATCATGCATGCCTGCTGCCTTTTTGCTGGTTGGTATGTCATACTTTCCCTACAACGACTAGGCATTTCTTGTGCAACAAATAATAGAAGTAAATTTAAACGTGGTCTAAAACAGGGGCGCGTGGGTGGCTCAGTCAGTTAAGGATCTGACTCTCGGTTTGGGCTCAAGTGATGCTCTCGGTTCATGGGATCAGGCCCCGCTTGGGGCTCTGTGCTGACAGTACGGAGCTTGCTCAAGATTCTCTCTCTCCCTCCCTCTCTGTCCCTCCTCCCCCTTTGAAAATAAATAAGCTTTAAAAAAAAATGTTCTAAAACAGTCATTTCATGTGTTTAGGGAACCAGGTGACAGGGTAGGCAGGGCCCCCATTAGCTTGTGCCCGTGAACCTGAGATTCCGTCCTGCTCATTTGATTACAGAAATAGTCACTGGAATGTCATGTCTCCGTAAGCATGTTTCTGTCCATCTGGTCACTCGAGGCTGACAGCCCTGGGAAGCAGGACATGCAGGGAGAGGAACCGAGGCTCGGAGAAGGTCTTTTGACCTCTCTCTCCTTACACATTCCCAAGAAGCCTCCCTGTCTGCAGGAGAGGAGTTCATTGGCCCTCACGCACAAGATGAAGGCCAGGAAAAGCGAAAACAAAACCAAATCAAAGGCATAGGGGAGGGGTATCAGTTGGCAAGTCTGAAGACTAGGAATCGGTCCGGTTTTCAAGGTCACACACTGAGGTCATGCAGAACTGGGACGCAAAACCGCCAGTGGAATGCCTTGTTTGTACCGTGGCCCCCAGCCTGCCTTTCTGGATTCTGTGTTCCTGAGCTCTGTCCTGGTAGCCACACCCAGTTGGTACCTGGGGCTCTCAGGGACTTTAAGCCTCAAAGAAGATTCCTTTCAATGGAATATAGTCATTTGATTTTGGTTAGCTGGAATCCGTGCTAGAGGCTGTTGAGATTACATAGTCCCCCAGACGACACTGCGAGTGCATCCTGTTTTTCGTGACATTTCCAAACCTCCTACCTGAACAACACCGCACTGGATTATAAAACCATTGAGCAAATCAATTTCCAAACTACATGGCAGTTTCCCTATCACCGGATTTAAGTGGATCAGGGTTATGAATTTGATATTGACTTGACCTCATGCTTTATGGGAGGCACGAATACAGCCCCTGCACTTGATCTTAAAACATTAATATTTGACAGTCTGGGGCTCTCGTCAAAATAGAAGTGTCTTCACGGGCCCAAGGATCCAAATTGTGATTCCGAAAATCTGAACTTTCGACTAATTGCACCGTAACGACGTCTTCTTTCTACGGGGTCCTTGACTAGTCTCCTTTTGTGCTTATCTGGAGAGTCTTTGTGTTTTAAGTTCTGTCACAATGTTTTTGTCACCATGTTCCTTAAGTCATGGTGAATACTAAGACTCTAAGAATAAAGACTTTCACATCAGTAAAAGGCAAAACCCAAAATCTCATACACAAACACACAGCAAACGCTTGTGAGCCAGGCATTGTTCTGGGGCTTTACCTTCCGCATTCAGTGTTCATCACTGGTTCATGAGCCTGCAGCACACCAGACGTCCTTCTAGGTTTCAAGGGTAGGACTCTTGAGGCCCCGCTCCCGCCTGGTGAGATAATAGTGACCAAATCAACAAAATGCAAACAGGATCCTTTTGGGCAGTGATAAAGGTAACAAAACAGGACGGGGTTGAGGGCAACTTTAGAGAAGGCAGGTGCTCCCACATGCAGACAGAACTGTTCCCTAGGCATCGGGATTGCACTGGGATGGCAAGCTGGTGCAGGCACTGGTTGGTCGGGGATGAGCACGGGTGGCTGAGCTTCCCTTTGGAGCGCCTCTCTCTTAGGCTCCTCCCTTTCTCTGCACTTTTCCTCCTTCCAGAGTTTCCACTGACTGGTTCCTGACCAGCCCCCGGCTCCTGGCTGAGCATCAGTCTCTTCCTAAACGTGTGTGGGGGTCCCACTGTGCGCGGTCACATTTCCATCAGCCAGTCCACGCGGTGTGCGCCAAGTCCGTCCCGCAGCCCAGTGACCCACGGATGATCGTTCTCAGTCGGGTTGTGGCTCTTATTTTCCATTAGGTTTCCATATGAGAGTCACTTTCTGGGCAAACTCTTCAGTGGCATTAAGCGGTTTATTTGTTTGTGCCAATACAACACTGTTGAATGATTTCAGCCTGTGTACAGTTTAACTCCTTTCTTAAAGCTACCCTTATTGGTTCCGGGATTTCTAAGGTTCTCCCCTCTGGCATTCATTCATACAGATCCTCTACCTTCTTTGCTAATGCCCGCACCCACATTTCCTCTCCCCTCCCCACCCCTCTCCACCCCTCCCCTCTCTTCTGCCTACCCCTTCCCTCTCCCCTCCCCTCTCCCCTGCTCACCTCCTCCCCTCCCCTTTCCCCACCCCTTCCCCACCTCCACCCCTCTCCCTCCCACCCCCTGCTCACCCCCTCCCCTCTCCACCCTCCCCCACCTCCTCCCCATCCCCTCCCTGTCCCCTACCCATCTTTTCTCTCCATACCTGTCCCCTCCCCCATCCCCTCTCCTCCTGGCTCCTCCCCTTCTCTCTCTTTTTCTCCTTGGCAAACTCTCTCAGGCAATCCAGAGCTGGCAGTCCTTTGCAGGCCTTCTGATGGCTCTTCTCTTATGCACTAGGGATAGCTCCTTGACTTGGCCTTGCTCTCCGCTCCTCCCCTCCCCACCCTGTCCAAGCCAGCCAGGGAGCCTGGAGAGAGTGGGAAAGGCAAGGAGGCACCAGGTACCAGGGGACAGCAGGAATGAAAGCGGTGGCCCTGTGGGAGGGAGGGAGCGGGGGGGGGGGGTTATGTTCAAAGTGCTGGACCCTCACTGTCCTCTGCCAGTGACTTAACAAGATCTAGTCCCCGCCCAACAGCGGCCTCACCTCCCTCTGCTCTCCCCTGCACTCACTGCGCTCCAGCCACACCTAGGCACTTGGGGTTCTGCTGCCTGGAAGGCTCTTCCTGACATTTCCTTAGTTGCCCCTGATTGCCGCTTGGGTCTCACCTCAAAATGTCACCTCACAATGAGGCCTTCCAGGACCAGCCAATGTAAGGAAGCTTCCCACTTCTAACAACAGCAGGCTAATTTGTTTCCTCATAGCACTGGCCGCTGCTGGAAATCACACTGTGTTTGTTTTCTGGTAGTCTTCCACCTTTCTAGAATGCACTCTTGGAGCGCAGGGATCTGCTGTGTCCCGGTGGGAGAACATGGCCCCTCTTAGCGGAAGCTCCCTCCCTTGGGGTTTAGTAACTGAATGAATGAACAGAGACTCGGGCAAGAGAGGGAATGCCTTGCTGGAGCCCACGTTAGGAGCCAAGCCAATTCCACGAGTTCTCGCTCTTCAACCCTCTGCTCCACCGAGCGGTCAAGGGCCAAGGGCCAAGGGCCAAGGGCCAAGGGAGGTGAGGGCAGCACTAGCCACCATGAACCAGAAACCAAACAGGGCGCCGCCCAGGGTCGGTGGGCTCGCGCCGCGCTGGGCCTCGGCCAACCCGGCAACTTGGATGTTACTTCCAAAGCCAAGCGGCAGGACTGGGAGGCGAAAGGAAAACGTAAAGCTGCCGATGCCGCAGGCCGACCGACGAATCCCCCCGCCCCACGCCCGGCACCCCGGGCCCGCCTCCCCTTCCCCTCTTGGCCCCCGCGCCCCGCCCCGGGGTAAGCCCCAACGCCCCGGGGAGCGCGGGCAGCCCCGCGCGGGCGACCGCAGCGCAGACGGGCCCGCAGGGCCCGCAGGACGCGCAGGGGTGGGGGGCGGCGGGAGGGGGAGGCGGGGCCCCGCGGGG